TTTTACCTGATATTTGTATTGTCCATAGGGTGTCATCTCTTCACATAATATTCCCCATGTCACCCTCGGACACCCCACTCGTCATTTCCAATCCGGGTTTTACCTGAACCAAGCTACAATGAAATTTTGACTGGGCACTAGTTAGTAACTAGTGTCGCGAGTTGAATAGCTCAATGGTAGCGTCTCCAACCACAGTGGGTTCGAATCTTAGGAGGGATATGAGTTCCTTCAAAGTTGCAGATACGCCTAGCTGATGAGTGCCAACTAGCAGGAAATCCAGGTCCAAGGCTTCCTGCCGACTGCTTCCAACCATCTAATATCTACAATGACATATTAGCGATACTTGGTTGTTACTCGGTAGAAGGAATGGAATTCCAGACTGTAAAGTAGTAACATATATTTAATACCTGAAACAATAATTTTGACGACCGAATTGTTTATCAGCAATCAAAACTTACTACTTAATTCTGTCTGGTTGATTTCACTCAGAGTAAGAAAAATTTACTGGTTATACATTCCGATAAAGTCTAAATGAATCTTATCTTGTATACACGCAGTGCATACTGGCGCAGATTACTGTAAATTACACGATTAGACTAATTAAGAATACCTCAGCAACTCACATTTACCATTAGCCTTTAAAATTTAACGACAAATTTAAAAATAGAATTTTAATTCCCTCAGGTAGTTTGTGTTATGCACAGTCTTATGTGATTTTGTATTACCTCATTCTAATCATTTCAAATTTTACATTAAGTCCTTTTAAAAGTGTTTAATCGGTTTACGCGACGTTTGCTATACTATGCGCGAAAACACCTTAAGATTACCTCTATCTTCATCCAATTTCGCTCATATTGGGATACATGTTTAAACTTTGGGAAGTAGAATGCATATCAGTTTTAATACAAATATCAATAATTATGTCAGTAGTAAAAAAGATAGAAGCAAAATAAGTCTGGGGAAAATGACGATCAGAAGTCATTCGAAATGAACTTCTGTTTACAAATTGTAAATACGAGGGAAAAAAATACTAACCAATATTTCTTAATCCAATCTTCACAATAATAATTACAATTACTTCTATAAACGCTCATAATGATTGCTTACAATTTCCTCAGTCTTAAAATGTACTGAAGATGATGCCTGGATTTAAAATGAAAAGCTCTATAGATAAAACTGTTAACTTGTTATTATATGAAAGTATACTGGATACACTTTGTGATTGTGGTGTTTAGCTCAGGATCCAACAACTGTTCAAATTTACTTACTGTTTCACAGTCATCCTTGCGTGTGTTTCAATGAAATAGGTGAATTTATTCCATACAATTTAGTGTAACTAGATAGTACTATCGTTTAGTATCTGTAAGTTATGCTGTGTATACCATCAATCATAATATAGCATGTGCTACTGACAAGACTTATCAGTAGTATATGAAGAGATGTGCATTGGTGGTACAGTGGTTAGGACGCTCGGCGACCACGCCCATGACTCGGGGGTCGATCCCCGGCCACCGACGCACTCCTTTACCTCGCTAAGCCGGGAATAATGCTGGTGAAGAGGAAAGGTTAGGCATGGGGCTAGCAACCCCATCCTGCAAAATTAAACACTGCTACAGAAACTTCAAGTCACTAGCTTGAAGCCCTATATTCCACTGGGAATGTGAAGGAAAAAAATATGAAGAGATATTCATCGGGAATAAAAATATCAAATTGCACAGAAAGATAGATTGGACGTCAGAAGAGGGTATAAATGAACCAACTAGTGTTACGATAAAACATGGGGAGACACGAAAAGAAGACAGGGAAACACAACACGTAGGATAGATGTAGCACAACACGGAAGGCCTGTGGAAAAGATGATTTTCATATGCGGTGTACATAACTTCCCTATGTAGAGATATCAAATAGCAAATAAACATTCTGTTACCAAGTCTCTTATCTTTTACCGTTACAATAATACAAGATGGTGATGTTTTCTATAAAAAATTTGTGATTTTCATCTCTTCCTTTTTAGGCTGGCTAGTTTGCATGTAGATATAAGATTGTGAAATGAATGACTATGTTTTATTTCTGTCCTTTACCAACTAAACTTTTACGTTTGTTAGTACCATGTACTTTCGATGATGGATTAAAGTGATACAGAACACTAATGTACGTACATCCTTTTCTCTTAGCCATATGCTTCTAGGCGTATATGTATTCATCTTCTTTGCGTATCGGTGAGAACCAATAAAGAGGGTTAATTCATTTAAATTACTGTAAATGTAAATATTTTCCTTCTAATAGAGAAACAAAATACTTCAAGTACACTAACTATATAAATATAGGCATAAATTTACACATTCTGTTGTCTAGACCATTATATTTGTTTATCTAAATCATGATAAAAAATGGAAGAGTAATCTTTTGAACACTAATAAAATGCCACCTATAAAGATGAATAGATAAATAATTCAAAAAGCAACCAAGCAAACAAACAAATTTTGTACAGCACACGTTAACATTACTCAAAGTGCGTCGGTGGCACAGTGGTTAGGACTCTCGCCGACCATGCACATAGTCCGGGGTTCGAGCCCACGCCGGCGCACACTTGATATCTATGGTCGGCCTGCGAAATTTGGGCTACCGATACCCATGCTGAAAATTCCATACTTGTACCACAACTACGGTGTGGAATCAAGCTGTAATCAAAAAATAAAATAAATAAATAAATAAAGTGTAGTGTGATATACCAAAGGTGTTTTGTATGAGTGATAGCCTTTTATGAGTGTAAATTAATGTAACTGTGAATAGTACAAATTACTTGGTATTCCAGTTGCTATATCAATAAGTTAGGAAGGCTAAAACTGCTGATATGCATAAGAGCTACCAACTTACCAGTATACCTTAAGTTGAAGCCTTAATTGCCTTTGAAACTATAAAAGAAAATCCTTGTCCATTCATTGATTATTTACTATTATTATTGTTCCCTTGGGTTTTGACTGAAACATAGAACTTTAATAACACATCTCTACATTGTTCTATTTTCTTCTGTCCTTTTCATCTAGGTCTACGATTGCCCATAATCTCTCATCTCGCCCTCGTACGATTTCCTTCATGTCACTCTCGCACCGATGACCCACTTGTCGTTTCCTATTTGAGTTTCACTCGAGCGATGACCTAGTGCACATTGTCATTGGGCAGTCTCCTCAGTGTGTGCCCTATCCATCCCCATTTTCTCCTACACATTTGTTGAGAGATAGGTTTCTTGGTTGGTTTGTCCCCACAGTTTCTTGTTACTGATTCTTTCTGGCTGGCCATTTGATCTTCAATATAGAACGAAGGCAGCTGTTGATGAAGTTTACTCCCCACCTGTTGGAAATGCTTTTCCTGATTCGCCGTGTTTCTGACCCATATATAGAAGAACTGAATGACTTGACATTGTTGTTGAAAATCCGAATCTTATTGTTTATGATGAAAGCAGAAGATTTCCAAACCGATTTCAGACTGATGAAGCTGTATTTTACCTTCCCGATTATGGCTTTGAAGTTTTCATCCGTTCCGCTTGTGGTTGAAACGGTGCTTAAGTGAAGGAGTTCACCTCTTTTAAGTTTCTTCTGTTGATAATGATTGGTGCTGGTTGCTATTGGCTGGTTGGTTGGTTGGTTGTATTCATCACCCTATGTTCACTTGGAGTCCTGTATTCGTTGCTTCTTCTGCCAGTTTGTTGGTTTTCGCCTGTAAGTCCTCGACTTTGTGTGACATTAGACATAAATCATCCACGCGCGAAATCCAGATATTCTAGCGGTTTTCTATCAGTCCAGCTCCATTCATTGATAAAAAGTATTAATGACTTGATTGGGCTTGATAATATGAGATCCTGTGCAGTTTTATTTGAATCTAAAGATATTTCAGTGAGTTGTCGGAAGTATGGAAATTACAACAGCCGATGAATATTTAGGCTAATTCATAAATTTCCAAGTGTCTTCACTATTTCAATGCTTAACATTTTCTTACGCTTACACTTTCGATAAAATGCATCAATTTTCCACACCTTTTTAAGCTTTAAAATACTCCCATTATATGAATCAAAAGTGAAATTTACCCCCTGAAATTATATCGTAGATAAAACAGTAATACCGTATAAGTTGCATCAGTGGCTTACGAATGAATGTTGATGGGAATTTTAGAATGCATAATTCCCTTTTTGAATGAAACATTGCGTGTATTACACATAACTGACGTATTAATCACTTAAGTGACCATAGTAACACTGGAAACCATGTAGGTAAGTAAAACTAAAAAATTGCGACCCACCGTAATCACAGAAACTTCAAGTTACTGTGAATCTGCGGCTCAGAGGTTAGCAAACTCCAATCCTTAAAAAACACCATTTCTGCTGAGACTTTGAAACTTAACCTTAGAGTCCTATGTCCTACCTGGAATGCAGAGGAATGGAAAAAAAAGATTTATGTACAGTTGCTATTCCAGTAATGCATTTAAATAATCAAACTGAATCATAGACCGTACATTCCCTTATGGCTAACATCTTGGGTTGTTTGTTCACCAGAAGTTTTGCGATCAAAATAAGTGATCGTACTCATAAAGTCATTAGATAAAATCATTTTTAATAAGAGATGTTGATGGGGACTGATATTCCTAAACGATTTATATTTCTGACCCTCAAAAATGTCTCATCTCCTTTTGCTATACGAGTCTCATTGGTTTTCAAAATCTAACATCAGTCTACAGTATCTTTATATGTTATCCAACAGAGTAGAATCATAAACTCCTGCATGTCTTCTGTAGCTGAAAGCACTCAGTAAGTATAGTGCATTATTATTACTACTATTGCTCTGTGTGTGTGCAGTTGAACAAAAGTCAGTAAAAAGCTTATCATGTCACTCAATAGTAAGCGGTACTATTAGTAACACTAGGAGTTTCCTACTTTTGTAAGACATCTTTACTATTTTTTGAGTAAATACTAAATTGTATATTTTCCTTAACTCTTTACAAAACAGGTAAAAATATGGTTTCAAAATCGAAGATATAAACTGAAAAGGCAAGTTCAAGATAGAAATCTAGAAGAAGCCAGTGCATTGCATCAATTACATAACTATTCATTACCATTGTTACATCATTCGAGAGAATTATATAATCATGGTGCTTCGATTACAGACTCATCCTTCTCACGTCTATATAATAATATCACCAATAGGCCAAATGAGATTCATCATGAAACTGAAGATTTAAAACAACATGTTCCTAAATTTAATACTTATGAATGGGCGAATATATTTTCCAAGACATACAATCACTATAACAAGAACACTAAGAATGCCGATAATAACACTGAAGGCTCTAGTTTACTGAATACTTCAGATATACCTTTACTTAACTCCTCAGCTATAATCAATGAAGAAAGGCCTTTTAAACATACAAATCAATCATCTTCATTATCCAACTATACTGATTCAAAGTTATTTACTAGTCAGTTTAGCAGAGATACATTCACAGATCTAAGTCATTCATTTCGTCAGATTGAATCAAAGTCATCGTTGTCACCAGTGTTACCCTCATCTCAATCTAGTTCATTTTATCACACGTTAAATACAACACAAACATCTGACTTGTTACCATCAGTTTACAACCATCATTTGTCTTGCAGCAATCCGACATTATCTCAGTTTCAGCATAAACATGAACTACATAATGACAATAATAACAATTACAGTGATAATAATAATAATTATTATTATTATCCATCTTTATATCCATTTCATAATTATTATACATCTAACAATTCGACTGAAGGTTTGAACTTTGACACTACTTTGAGAAAGGACACTAATCAGTCAGATTTATCTGTTTCAATGTTGAATAATCTTCGAAATCAACCGTTAACTTTGAATACTTCTGACATGTATGACAATTATTATCTTATGAGAAAAAGACTACAGTCACGACAATCACCTTTACAGATGACACCAACAGTAACAACAGCAACAACAATAAACTTGTTGTCTTCTACAGCGGTAGTTGCTGCTGCTGCAGCCGCTGCAGCAGTTGCAGAATCTGTCAATCCGTCAGATAAGTTCATAAAATCAGAAGAAGTCTCCTCAAAAACGAACTGGTTGTCAAATAATTCTTTCCCCGCATCTGGTCTATCTAATTCTTTTAATGAATTAATTATATCAACGAATAAAAATCAGTGTCAGGCAGATGAAGCAAGGAAAGTATCTTCACCAATGTCACATTCAGACTATATACAACAAAAAGAAGAGTACAATGATAAAAGTGAAGAATTTCATTCATTTCCTTATCATATAAATAAATTTGACTTAGAGTATCAAACTGTACTGAATGTAGCTAAAGCTGCATTTCAACGTGAAAATATTCTGTACAGAAATAAATCTCCCTTTCTAAATGAGCATGCCATTGAAGGAAAAGTAACAGAAAACTGTCATGATGAAACAATACAAACAGATGTAGAACCAATGAATAGAAATGAAGAATCAGATAGTTATTCTCAAGAATATCAACAAAATCTTCACAGTACAGCTAACACATTTGATTTAAGTTGGTCGCACAATAGACTGAATAAATCAAGAATAATGTTAGATGATAAAGCTTATAACTCTCCTCATAATTTAAGTTCAAATTTTCCCGCTTATTCAAATATTCAACCTACTGATATAATTAGACGAATGTCTAATTAACTCGACTTATTTCTTTTGTATGTGTAACACAAGAAAAATTGCTCGGCCATGTTGTATTGCTCCCGCTAAATATTGGTAGTGAATTGAAATTTTTAAAAAAATCTAATATTATAACTCTTACTAATACAAATTATTACTTCTGTTCATAATTTTACTAAGTAATTTATTCATTTTATTATACGAAATTTTAAAATTATCAACAGAATGCTTAGTAGTTATTGAACTGGTTCAATGTTTTAAATTAAAACAACAAAAATGCTATGTATTTAAATTCGTTACCATTGACAACGATTCTTTATACCTATAAAGTGCCTTACTTATTTCAGGCTACAGCCATCTTAACATTTTTATTAAACTGTCAGTATTTATTAATATATATAATTGTGTTTTAGCAATATAACTCTCACTACTATTAAGCGATTCCCCTATTGGTAGTGACAGTAATGAAATAATAAATTTAAGAAAAAATATTTATAAATTTTCGTTTTCATTTTAAAACACGACTTTTCTCTCTTCATTTGCTGTATTCGTCTGTACCGTTAGTTTGTGGGATGTTTTCTGACTTAATGACAATCCTTTATATTTAAATTAAGTCTTGAAACGTAGATTACGTAAAAAATTCAACAGTAAATTGGTTGAGGTAGACATTTTAATAATGCGGAATTTTTGAAAATGTATTTTAAGTAAGCAGCAGTTGATCCTGAATATATTCGATATAAAACCGACAAAAAAGCTTGTAAAACTATCTAGCAAATATGCCTACTGTTGTTTAAGTCGATTCACCTGTTTTTATTTACTCCGTTATGTATAGCTAGTAAAACTCATATAGCTGTCGAAAAACCAATCAGATGTAATTTATGTTAAACACATAATGTATTTGCGCAACACATTTTGAACATTCTGATCACACGTGCATATGTCATACTTATTTATGTAAAAGATAAAAGAGTATAAAGGGTCAAAATCTCAATCAGTACAGGTCAGAATGTTACTTTGATTGATGGTGACTAGAAGTGAAATCCAGAATTGTCATTTCGTCCTATTCGAGGCTTGTCACAGCATCCTAGACTCCACTGTTAGTCAGCATCAACCGAAATAGCATCATATGAATCGTCAGATATCGTTGAAGCGTCCATACTAGGAGTCAATATGTCAACATAGACCGCGTACTAACATGATCATTCAAGGGGAAATACAAATTAACCTAAAAACAAATAAGAGGCCGAAATGCTTATGGGTCAAGATCACAGATAACAGGTAGGATAATAAATTAAGAAAAGAGGGGGGGGTGAGGAAAAATACAAATAAAAAATATATATAGAAACAAAAACTATTATTTTGTATATATGTGATTTAAATACACACATCTTCACTTGTTAGCTCTATGCGCCATCCAGTTTTCCCATTCGGGTTACATTTGAACGTTGAAAGTGTTCTGGTGATAATATATCGTACAGAATAAACACCAGGTTCAATTAGTTTAAATGCATGACTGATTGTAATGATCGGTATGTAGCATCATGCTTCCTTTCTTGATTGTTACTAGTCTTAGCGAACAGATCGTATATTTTGATCTGAACAAATTTGGTTCCCCAAGGGAGACTGTGATGAAATTTTCCCTGGACCTGTGTAATTCTAGGTCAAATCAGAATAATTTTAACAAGTTTTTGGTCTACGGATTAGATGATTTAATGAACACAGTAGAAACGTCAACTGTTAATGTAACTAAGGCGTAAACAAAAGGTAGGGCCAGTGTTAGAGTCTCACATTTGTCCTTCACCGCTTACGTAAAGTCTAGGGTGTACTGAAGCGTTTGTTGACAAGCCTGCACACCAAAAGGAGGTCAGTCAAATATCAGCAAGAAACTACAAATTTAAACAAGCTAAATTAAAATGTGCTCAATCAGAAACGGAAAAAACTCCCATTCGAATAAATTGGGCTAACACTAAAGTGGTAACTGATAGCTCCGTACTCATCAATAAGAGGGAATATTGAACCACATTAAAAATAACTTTTCGAGGGATTCAACTCCAAATAACTCTGTACATAACTTATTCCGACTTTTTCTGACTTATCTACAATTACGATAATTATACTACATAGATAAAACTTCACAGTTTAATCGTTGTTTGTTCAGTATCCAGTATGTACACACATTTTCCCATTTCACCTAGTGAATAAATGTCGATATATTCAGGAAAAAGCTTCATTTAGTAAATCACTCTGTCATAAGAAAAAAGACGTAGACGCGAAGAAAATTCTCTTTTCTACGATTCATTTTCATAAGCTGTATAATCGTAATTATATTTAACAAAGAATTCATAAGACCAATCAGATACTGGTAAAATTTGTCCTCGGAAACGTATTACGTAATGTAACGTAAGGCTAGGACTCTCGCTGACCATACACATGGTCCGAGGTTCGATCCCCTGCCGACGTACACTTGATATCAATGGTCGGCCTGCAAAATTTGGGCTACAGATATCAAATGCTGAAAATTTCATACTTGTATCAAGATAACGGTGTGGAATCAAGCTATTATATCATGCGCGGAAGAACATTGGAACTCTCTGAAGGCGATTCTCAAACGAACGTGTTCAACGGTTCTAGGAAGAAAGAAGAGACAAGACAAGGAATGGCTCTCAACGGACACTTGGAAATTAATAGAAGAGAGGAGAATGGTGAAAGAGAAAATGATTCAATGCAAGGACGGACAGGAGAAGGAGACGCTGAGCTCAACTTACACAGCACTGGACAAAGAAGTGAAGAAGAGTGCTAGGAAGGACAAAAGACGATTCTACAACAATCTGGCCACTGAAGCTGAGAAGGCAGCAGGCAAAAGGGTCCTGAGGACATTATATCAGATAAAAAAATCTCTATCCGGGAAGAGACCAACACAAGCGAAACCTATAAAAGACAGCCAAGGGAACCCAATTACCAAGGAAGAAAAACAGATTAAACAATGGGCGGATCACTTCAAAGGTCTCTTGAACCGACCATCACCTGCAACCCGTCCAGATATACCAACAACAACACGTACACAACTGCAAGTTGACACCAATCCTCCAACGAGAGCTGAAGTCTTGAATGCAATTAAGCTTCTGAAAGCTGGAAAAGCAGCTGGACCAGATGGAATACAGACTGAAGCCCTGAAAGCGGACCCAGAGACTACAGAAGACGTGCTGACTCATTCCATTATTGCGAAAGGTCTGGAAGCAGGGAAAGGTGCTTACTGACCGGAGGGAAGGTTATTTCGTGAAACTACCAAGGAAGGGCGACTTAGGCCTCACTCTGCAAGAACTGGCGAGGAATCATGCTCCTGTCGACGCCAAGCAAAATCCTGAGTCGCATCATACTGGAGAGAATTAAAGACTCACTGGAGACAGAACTCCGACCAGAACAAGCTGGATTCAGGAAAGTCAGGCAAATCATGTAATAACCAAATTGCAACTCTACGCATCATCATCACAGAACAAAGCATGGAATGGCAATCAAACCTCTACCTCAACTTCATAGACTTTGAGTAGGCCTTCGACAGACAGCGTTGACCGCGAAGTAATTTGGAAACTACTCGAGTACTACGGCGTACAGTGCCCCAAATATTCATCAACCTTATTGATATATATATATATATATATATATATATATATATAATATGTGTGTTTGTTTGACAGTCTGTTCTTGGTGATATGTATCCATATAATATGTGTGTCTATTGACAGTCTTTTATATTTTGAAATGTATATATGGATCGATATTCCATTATAATTAGCCAATCATGTTAAGACTGTCTATTGATTTGTTCATTTTGAATATTCGCTCACACACTTGTTCGGACATTCATATTTTGGCTCTCACAAACTTGTGTGACATTGATTCTCCTTGTGTTTGGAAAATAGAAGTATCATCGCAAACCTAGTGGTCTTCTGATTTCCGTCTTTCTTGCGTCAGGACTATTAAATTCTCGACCAATTCAGAACACTTATTCAACAGCTGTACGACAACGGAACATGTCAAGTGATCTTCACAAAGGAAAACTCAGAAAGGCGTTTGGAATAAACACAGGAGTCAGACAAGGGTGCTTATTATCACTTTCAATGATATTCCTAATTGTGGTGGACTGACTGGATTATGCGTCAGACAGTGGGAACCGAGAAGACAGGAGTATCCTGGACAGACAGACGTGAAGAACCTGGGAGACCTGGATTTCGCGCGTGGATGATTTATGTTTGATGTCACACACAATCGAAGACTTACAAGCGAAAACCGACAAGCTGATCGAAGAAGCAGCCGGCGACGACAGGACTCCAGGCAAACATAGACAAGACGGAGGTGATGAAAATAACCACCAATAACAACAACAACAACAACAGTAGCAACATCCAGCGTCAATCACCATCAATGGGAGGGATTTGAAAGAGGTTACTTCACTCACTTATCTAGGGAGCATTGTCTCAACTACACGCATGTCGGAATGGACGAGGATGTCAAATCGAGCGAGAATCGGGAAGGGGAGAAACACATTCATCAACCTGAAACCAATCTGGGAGTCTTCGTCACTCACCCACCATCAACAACAAAATTCGGTCGGATTTTCAATACAAACGTCAAGTCAGTCAGTTCTTCTATACGGATGAGAAACTTGGCGGGTGGGTCACAAAGAATACTTCCAACAGGTTGCAGACCTTTATTAACAACTAACTGTCTTCGCTACTGAAGATCAGATGGCCGGGCTGGAGAGAATCACCAACCCGAAACTACGGGAACAAAAAAAACAAGAACCAATCACCAATCAAAAAATATGCAGGAGAAAGTGGAGATGGATTGGACACTCGCTGAGGAGGCCGGTTGGTGACATCGGGCGTCAGGCCCTCGGGTGGAACTCGAAAGGGAAGAGGCGTGTGGGAAGTCAGTGCAAGGGTGACATGGATGAGATCGTGTGAAGAGGAGTTGAAAGAGTATGGACTAACATGGAAGCAAGTGAAAAGTACAGCAAAAGA